TGGCATGGTTGTGTCAGCACTCTCAACACGACGCCCAACTGTGACATCTACACACATAGAAAAATGTTTTTAATTAACTATATACTCCGGTCTTACAATTTTAACCAATATTTACAATCTTTAGGACAGGCATCTAACGCTCCTTGCGCAAATGTCGATTTGTGATGCTGAAGAAAACGTTCTTCCATACATCCTATGGACGACGAATCCAAGTACATCTCTTACGGTATACCAAAACGTTGTAATTTTTGAATATGGGCAGAGGAAAATCCGAGAATTTCGTACTCTTGTCATCACAAGGTGGTTCACATTATTACCGGTTCGGTGTTGACTTCTCGAAAATAAATTAACTGAGTCTTAATTCTACGAAAATAGTTTAAATGGGGCTCATTTCCTCAATTTTTTTAGGCTTTTTTTTGCCAACACTGATGAGTGATGATGTTCTCTGCGGCAACGACAATCCTACATATTTCTTTCTCCAATCAACCCTGCAGGTCGTTTTACATCGAAACAGCCAATAATTTTAATAATTAAGGGCTTTACGATTTTATTTCTTCTTCAAATTGTTCCAGCAGGACGTTTTACATCGAAAAAGAAAATGAAACATTTTTCTTTTTTTTTCTAGGTTGTTTCCATTTATTTTCAAAAGTAAGATTTACAAGCTAAATTCTTCTTCCAATCAATCCTGCAGGTCCTTTTAGTTCTAAAACACTATAAAAAAAAATTGTTTTTTACGTTTATAATAAAAATAAGGGCTTCATGAGCTTGATACTTCTTCAAATCGTTCCAGCAATTCGTTTTACATTGAAAAAGACCACCAGTCCCAGAATAAAGTTATTTTTCTTCTTCTTAACGATCTCGTCTATTTTATGGTAAATTAACGCAAACAATTGTAAAAGTTTACATCTTAAATACTATTTATTATTTTATACCAAATCATTTTTTGAACAACCTTACACTCTGTGAGATTTGCGATAAGTTAAATAATCTCCAACATGGCAAAAACTTTGAGCGTTAAAAGTTTCTTTAAAATTTTTAAAAAGGGTTTCGCTTTGCCTTCATAAGTATTAACAGAATTCCATGTATAATCTTCTAATTAATGATACAATTAAAGTTGTTATATTATTATTTAAAAAAAAAGACAATAGTATTTTTTTCGGTTATTTTGCGTTTATCTTGAAAACGAAGGGCTTTACGAGCTTAATTCTTCATCAAATCAACCCTGCAGGTCTTTTACATAGAAAAAGACAATGAAAATTATATTGTTTTTCGCGTTTATATCTTTTTATTTAATTGGTTATTGGTTGACAAAAAAATTCATTGCCTTTGAAGGTTAAAACCATCAAATCATAAAATTAAGATTTTTTAAAATTATTTATATGGTAATGCTGTTTAGTATTTGTACAACAAATCATATTCTTCCCTTTTTTTAAGTCACTGCTATATTTAACACAATTTTTTCTGTGATCTGATAGAATTTGTCTGTGCAAACTATATTTCATTTTTGCAGGCTTTTACATTTCTTATGTTTTTCTTTTTCAGGTGGTGTTGAGCTGTGCAGTTTTTATACATTATCCTACTTTTTCAAAAAATGTTATGTACATATTCACAAACGGGTATTTAAACAGTGCGTAAAATTGTTCCGCGAGTGTTAAACAGTGAGTAGTTAGCTGGTTCATCGAAGCAGTTTTAAGGCGAGGATTGTTGCCTTCAGAGGGTAAATTTCATTTTAATAACATGCATCTTTTATATCTATCTTGTCTACTGTTCTCTGATTTTAACTGAATTTCTTCTTTTCCCAGGAGGGATTTACAAATGGTAAATCAACTCTTTCTGCTGGCAGGCAGGTTAGTGAGCATGTTAGTATTAATATTTTATTGTTGCCCCAGTAGCTAATATAAGTACGAATTTATAAATAAGTTAACATTAAGAACTTAACCAATTAAGAACTGGATTACATAAATTGAGGATGATGGTGCCAGAGAAGTTAAAAGACGTTATTTTTGACTATTATCACACTTCTGGGATTGGGATGCACAAGGGCATTACCAAAACAATAGGTTGCTCAAATTTTTTTCTAGATTGGATTGCAGCAGTTTGTAAAAAGGAAAGCGGTCAAAAGTAGGCCAATACTAATCAAAATTTTCAGTTTTTCAACGTTAAATAATTGTGGCTTTGTCTAAAAAAGTTTAAAAAAAGTAAATTTCTAAAAAAATGAAAAAAAGACGGACAGATAAAATTTGTTTTAATTTGGTTTTAGATTTTTAATTATTTCAATATCGTGTATTTCCTCCTCTTGCTTCCTATCCAAATGGGATTAATCAGCATAAAAGTAAATCAAGGAAGTAAACAAAGCATAATTTACTGTTTATTTTGACTATGACAGCTCCTGATTACCTGTAACTAATGTAGAAAGATAATGGATTTAATTTTAAACTAAATAAATTTAGTGGTGCGCTAAATTTGTCTTCAGTGCATAATATTTATATAATAAAAAGTAACAATTAAAGGGTGTTTTATATGTTTCTTTTTTATTATCAATTTTATAAATAACTTTAATAAAGGTTTTTATTATTGTTATCTATTGTTTTTTAAAAGTTTTTTAGAGGTTTAAAAATGTTTTATTTTTATTACTAATTTTTAAAGGAGTTTTATTGTAACCAAATTTATTTACGACAATATAATTTGTAAGTTGACATTTCTTAATTTATTGATGTATTGCATGAATGTAGAAGGCTGTAAAAAGGTCGAAAGCTTCTTGTCTTGAAGTTGCAAAACTCACTTCTGTGACCACATCCCTGATATACAACAAATTTGGTTATATATTTTTTGTTAGATCAGGCACTTTTGATAGAGTTGTTTGTGAAAATTTGACTTGGAGACAATGAATTGCACAAATCCAATCAGACAACACAAATAAATTAAGTCTTTATACACTTAATTAACTTTTAATCTAATACTTTTATATGTACTAGAAAATGAAAAGTAAATGTGGTTATATAAGGTTTTTCTGTTATATCTGGCCCTTTAACAAACTCATTTTGTGGAAATTTAACTAAGTGCAACTGAACATTCCCATTAAGACAACAGACATGTTCAACAAATATTCACCTGCACAAACGTAAACTTTTATTATATTTTCTCAATGTCCTTCAACTGAACAGTCAACATTACACTAATTTTCATGATTCTGATGTGTAATGGTTTTCTTTCCAAACTGAATTGCATGCTTTGGCACCTCATCAAGGCTAAAATAATAATTAAAATTAAACAGTTTCTTCCACTCACAATTTAAATGAATAAGTTTCAAGAAAACATTTAAACTACATATTTTGGAAAAAAACATATTCACCCACAGAACAGACATAATTTTTGACTCTAACAAAGAAATGATTTAGTTAGTTTTGTGATATGTTTAAATTATTGATTCAACAATGGAATTCATTTATACATTTCTAATATCTATTTTATACTTTTACAAACACAAAAATATATTTGTAATTTGATCTACCTATCCTTGTTGGGTCCAAGTAAATATTAAATAAGCAAAGAAATAGTGCATTTAGTTTGGTCGTTTTTGAAGCCAAAATATAGTTTAAAGTGGGTTCTCGGACATGAAGACGTAGAAAGGAATGAACAGGCTGAACAACTATCTAAAAACAAGGGCACGAGAACCACTACTAGGTGCACTGGAAAATGGCTTGAGAAAGAAAAAACTCAAGCACTGACAAAAGCACCATATCTCTCAAAAAGGAAGTAACTCAAGCATGATTTGAGATAAATTATACGCTTCTATACCTCTGCCCTCGTAACGATCACCTAAAGATGGGCAAAGTAGAGAAAGAAACATGCTGACCAGAGAGATCGATACACATCCTTTGTGAATGTGAAGCCTGGTTTACAGTATAGCCGCTTCAGTCGAAAATAGATGTGCAGAAAGGCCAGTGGGATGTGCTTTGTTTTATAAGAAAAAGAGCACTTTCTAAGGTATGGCTATAATTTATAGATAGATCTATATTAGTCACAGTGAAGGGAAAGGATTTTTAAAATCCTGATTCAATCCCCAAACCTTAGAGAAAAAGTCCGAGTCCAGGCAGTCTTCTTTGATTATTCATTTGCAGTTTTACTTTTCTGCCTGTATTACATTGTGCTGGTTAGAGATGGTTGTGCTTCTTTCTGACATGAGAATGTACAGATAGTTCTTCTTTTTTTCGTATTAAACCGTTTTGTTTGATGGGGTTTTTGGCCCCGGCTACAGCGTGTATGTGGTTTCCTTCCAGCTAGATGGGAGAGATGGTAGGCATGTTTGAGGGTATATAAAGATTAAAAAAACAACAATAAGTATATCCATAAATAATATTGTTTGACATCATTTGTATTAAAATTAGTGCTATTTCAGTACCGTAATATTTTATGTGGCTAAACCCTTATCAAGAGTTTATTTTTACATTTCACATTTGTACACATATTTTTGAAATGCTATCTCTGTTTATGGGAAGCCTTTTTAATCTCTCTGATCTTGCAACTGGCTGCCGAAATGTTTCTTCAGGCAGAATAAATATTTGTAATTAATTGTTGTTATTGCACATTTTTTACAATTTCAATCTTCATTATATCCTTCTTCAGCTGGAAAAATTACGTAAAATAGTGAAACCTGAAATAATTGATATTTCAGCAATTAAACATTACAAATTAAAGCATATAGTTCAGACATCTGACTGAAAATAATTGTAACAAATATTGTTAATTAATGCAACAATCTGTTGATTGGAAATTTAAAAAAAAACATTCAAAAATTAATAAAAGTTCCACAGCAATAATAAGAACAACAATAATTTCAAAAAATAACTATATCATAAATTAAATCAATAACTATTAATGTAAAAAATATATCCCAATTTAATATAAATAATAGAAAAACATCACAGCATTGAGTGGTCGTAATGACAGCATTGAGTAGTGTCTTAAGATAATTGCACAAACTTAAGAATTTCACAGAATTCACTATATGCCAAGAAATTATAAATTTAATTCCTTCAAGGTACATTTTATGTTATGCATAATTACCATTATTTAATAATGGTTGGATAAATTTGTGATTAAAATGTTAAACATATTAAAATTTACTGATTTTATGAATGGAACAGTCTTCTGTACATTTCTAATTTGAGGTAGCCTTACAAATGTGACACCTTTGATTTGTAAGAGCACACTATAAAGTTGAGGTTTATTTTTTTTCGAGTTGTTTTTTAGGCGTTTTGCCATAATATATGTCTAGAAACAAACCAAAAAACACAAAAACTATCCCAACCCACTGCCTGGTCTTGAGGACATGTCCGAAAATGATGATAGAGGAAAACACGGTGAAGAACTTCCTTGTGGTCGTAATGACAGAACAGGTGAGAGTGCCGTACTCCACCAAGCACAGATATATGAAGAACTGACCCAAAGCACCGCAAAATGAGATCATGATTATCTGGAGTATAGAGCTTGGGTGTCTCTGTACGAAGCTGAGGAAATCCATCCCCTCGCCAGTCACAAGTACCATCAATCCGAGGTAGAGCATCGACCACTTGTTCATCTCGAGCATCAACTGGTCCGATTTGGGTTTGTACTTGGCCATCACTCTCTCCTGCATTGAGTTGGTCAGCCCGTCCATGAGGAGCGACATGAACAGTAGGATCTCGCCAAAACCTACCATCTCCGAAGTCTTTACAATATTCACTGCTTTGTCCTCTCTGTACAAGAAGAGCGCTACACCTGATACGATCAAGATTATTATGAAGTATTTCCTCAATGGGAAGCTCTTGTGACCGATGAGCACTCCCATGACCATGACGGGAATCGGCTTGGCGCTCTTGGCGACTATTTGCATCGGGTAGCTCACCCACTGCAGTGCCATGAACGAGGTGACCATCGCCAACAGATAAGTCAGCGAAATACACGTTATATAAAGTGTCGGGATCTTCGTGTCCTCGGTCGTCCTGTCGCTCAGCCTTTTCATAAATACAGCGTAGCAGTAATTGAAAACCGTAGCAACTAAAAGAAGAGGAAGCACATACGTGAAACGCTCCTTTTCTTCACCAAAGGTCCCTTTCAGGAGCTTTTCCTGCAGAACGGCGAAGAGGCAGTAAAGAGAGAAAATCCCTCCGGCGATGAATGCGAACCTCAGGCTCATCCTTGGCAAAGCGATCTAACTGCCAAACGTTTTCTCATAGAAATAAATTATTAGAAATCATATCACCACCAACCAAAACAGGCCACGTTGATATCTTGGCAGTTAGTTGTCCGTAAGCACTAAGCAACAAACGTATTACCTCACAGTTCACTAATGTTCAAACGACGCTCGTCTGAACGGGATCGATTATTGAAACGTCACGCTCGGAGACTTATATTTTAAACAAAATAAAAAGTCCAAATTCTTTTGAGCATTCACAGATCCAATCTGTTGATCACAGGATAAAATAAAATACAAAAATAGGACCTGTTCATCATGAAAGATTTCATCCATATTCATCAACAGACTTGACATAGTGCTTCATCAACTTCATTAAAATTGCACTATACATCAATATTAAACAAATAATATAAACTAAAATAACATAGTTCCTGTATGTAGGAGAGTTTAATGCCCAAATACCTGTTAATGCCCACCAACCTTACTGTCACTGAGATACATAAGCTAACCATAATGGGCCTTGTCATACAGATAACATTGTCGTAATAAACACAAAAAGCTTTCAATTTAACCTGTGCCTTGAAAAAACTAGCATAAATATAAATCCCATCAAAAGCAACAATTATGCCATTCACCAGGAAAACAAAGCTCAATCTTATAGCTCTAACCTTGTGAAAGTGAGAAATGAGACATTACAAAGAAGTTACATACCTAGGAGTAGTTCTTTACCAAAAGTTAATGATGAATGCACACCTTAAGACCTAGAGAACCCAAGATAGAGGGCTAAAGGACAATGGGTATGCTAAAGAGAAAGAACTTTTCAATTTTTTAAATTATTTTTTTAATGTTTTATATATTTTTTTTATTTGTATTTATTTATTTTATTTTTTGTGGCTTTGTTAGTACACATTAGCCAAAGGTCAAACTTTTCATAACTTAGAAAAAAGAAAAAAAACAGGAACTTATTTTTTTCGTGATCAATTGTTGTCTTGGTTAGTCGTTAAGCCCTTCTATGACAGGAATTACTTTTTATTTTAATTTTACACCAATTCTTAGACGAAATTCCAGCAATATCTCTGTAAAGTGAAAGGTATGTTGCTTTAATGTGCTGTAAAACTAACAGACTCATCTCCATGCTTCTGTCATGTGCACACCATAGAAATGGTGAATGATGGAGTGAGTGCGATGTTCAATCCTTTTTAAAAAAGATAGTTCTTACTCACATTAAGTTGTTTTCCAACGATTCGGATTTCGAGCCCTTAGCACATTGTCAGGTTGTAGAAGTCCTTCAACCTGACGATGAGCTAAGGGCTCGAAATCTGGATCGGAAAACAGCTTAATGTGAGTAAGAACTACCAGAAATAAATAGTTAAATATTAAATTAACTAATATTTCAGCTTAAAAATAAACTTTTGTCCATGTCATATCCTTCACAAGACTTCAAAACTATTATTATTAATTAACAACTATATTGTGTCAGAAATAAAATATATAATCAACGAATCATAGATATTGTTCCACTGTCAACTAAATTATGTTTGAAATGATAATTTTCAGTATTGTAGGTAGATGTTCATTTTTGTTAATCTTGTGAATTATTAATAACAGTTTCAAAGCCATGATGAAGAGGACTAATTATTCTGCCAAGTAAAGAACAAAAATGAAATGTATGTCAATCAAACTAATAGGCTTTTAAACTGAATTATTTTTAAATTTCATTTTAATTTTTAAATTCATGCACTAGAATCAATATTACTTTTTAGTCATACAAACCTTAAAGACAGAATGATTCGGAAGAAGTTCTGAAGGGAATTATATAAGTCTTATAAATAAATAGACTTCATATATTTATACATTTACACAAAATTCCATAAAACACAACATCAAACGCTTTCTCCTCAATTGTTTAATTTATTGAATAGTTTTTTTTTTTTCTGACTGACTGATTTAGAATGTAGAATCAAAGGAATAATTTTTATAAATTAAATAATTAAATAACTTAATACAAATTGATAAATCCTCCAGAGACATATTTGCATCACTACGGTTTAATTATAATGAATAACATTATATTCACAATTAAAATGTGTTTTTGTTTTTTTAATGTGCTAAGAGACGTTTCAGTTAGTCAAAGGGTTGGTTGAGGGGGGTCGTTCTACTCCAAAACTTGTCCTGTGCGGTACGCCTGGAGCTAAAACACAAAGTTAAAAATTGAGTACTTTAATAAATATGTATACAAAATATTATGTTTTTCTAGTAATAATTATATGATTTTATTCTATCCAGCCAAACAAGTTTAACCATTAATTTTATGATTAATTTATAACAAATTAATTATCCTGCTGTTTTCTTAGATAATAGACAAACTTTATATTTGACTAAAAACTGTAGATGGTCAAACCATAAACAAAATATTTTACTCAACTCGAGGTTCACTTCTCATTTATTATCTAGCAAACCCCAGCAAAATATTTTACAATATGCAGATCTGTGTGTGATAATTATGGAATTTGTGATCTTTATCTTCTTGTCACACTTCCTTTATAACAAGGATGATCATAAAAGAATAAACAGCACACTTTCTTAAAAGCAGAGATTTTTGTAAAAATAAAACTATATAAAATTTCAAAGTCAAAAGAGTGACTCTCTTATATGATAGAATAACAGATCCAAAATGTAATAAATAATGGGAACAGGGGAAAAAGTTTCTTCTTAAAAGGTCCCTTGGGCCGCATCCCTTCAAATTTACAAACCTGTGTCCAGAACATAAGATCCTAATGTGGGAATATCTGATACTCAAGGCCTTTAGGGACATGAACAAGATGTTTGATTGCAAATAAAACTTCCATACAAACCTAAGTATCAAAAAGGGAAAATTCACAGTCAAGGAAGGTCCTAACTTTTGTTATACCAATGGATCTAGGACATAAGATGTCCTGTCCAAAAGGTAGGATTACTTGGTCTACCTTGCCTAAAAACCAAATATTCATAGCCCATGGGCATTAAACAGAGGATATATAAACAGTCTCATGACAGATAGCCAGACAGCCATTAGAGCATAAAATGCAAATATAATTAGCTCAGAATGGTGCTGAAATGCAAAACCAAACTAAGGTTAAGTGTTCAAGACAAATCACTATTGGGTTCCAGGAAGGAAGAAGCGGATACCCTGCAAGGATGCAAGGCTGTTACATTGCTGATATGTCCTGAACCCTTTTGTTGAAAGACAACATGAAGAAACAGTGGAAATCACTTAATGGATGTAAAATTCCAAAGACCTCTTGACGAGATTTGGAAAGATACAAACTAGACTGAATTAAAAGTAAACAGGAAGAAACTTCAAATCCTGACAGGATTCTTGGTGGGGTACTGCGGACTTGAGGACTTGAGAGCAACACGCTAAATGCAGTTTCTATTGTATAAAAAGGCAGGAGAGATCCCAGTGAACTTAATAACAGACCATTGTGCCACACTTCTCCGCTTTAACCTAACTTAACAAACAAACCTAAGGAGCACAACCACTAAACACTAAAACTTGGCCTAACAATCAAAATTCATTGATGAACTAGGAATCACCAGTGTGTTATAAATGCAAAAGGAATCAGCAAATTGTCACAAGAATAGTGGAGAAATTCCTGAAAGTGTTTTTTGCATTGTGTGGACATGAAGTAAGGCCAATAAACAATAATCAAGATAAAGATCAGATAAAGAAATAAATATAGATAATAGATCTTTGGATGGAGGGGAGATCTTAGAGTTTGTTAAAAAATTAAACTGTTTCACATTATTCCATCAAATACTTCCTTACAATTGCTGGTGACATACGTAGTTTGAGCATAAAATATGCCCAATCAGTGAGGTTTTAAATCAGGGAACTAAGAATGTAAAAAATCAAGGGACTTCTTGTTAAGTTCATGTAATTAGCTTAAACTCAGCCCATTCTTTCATCATATGGCTCAATTCCCAAAAATTGCTGCTTGCATGGTATGGACAAGGTCTGATCAATCCAGAATAGATCTCTGGGTCATAGTGGGCAGTAAGGTTTTCAGAGAAATCCTAAAATATTTAAAAAAAATCAGGACTAGATATTTGGGGCATAGTGGACAGTGAATTTTTAAAACAAGAAAGATCCTAGCATTAAAAAAACAAAACAAAAAAAACATCGTGCTTTCTTGTTAAGTCCATGTAATTTGTTTAAACGCAGTGCATTTTCCATCACATACTCCTCTACAAATTGCTGGTAGCACAATAAGTATGGTCAATTCATGATTGATCTCTTCAGGCTACAGTGGGCAGTGGATCCTAGAATTTAATAAATGTATTTAAGGGACATCTTGGCAAGTCCTTGTATTTTACAGAAATACAGTATATTTTTCCACCTCATCCTTCACCCATTAAAAACCAGTCTTCAAATTGTGTTCCAAGTGTAGAAGTAAAGTTGTAACACGATCGTTCGTAATTTTTTTTGCAAACTTGCTAAAAAACGAACGTCACCAAAAAGAAAAATGATGAGGAATTATTGGGCCCGTCGATATTCCAAACTTTCTGACAAATTTACTGCCGTCCAGTGCGACCAGGACGACAGCTTATCACAATATGACGAATTACGAGCAACAGCTCTAAACTTAACATAATCTTTTGATACATTTGCTTCCATCGTTAAATATCACAGTTGAAAATAATTAATAATGTAAACATTAAATTTTTGGTTAATGTTTGGAATACATTTTTTTTTGGGCTTAGGGCATATACGGCATCATGTTTTCAAGAAAAAAAAATTGCACCATTTTTCCACTTTCACTTTAAACTTTACGTTGTTTTAGAGAGAAATATTTCTAGGTGTTGCTTATGAGACGAAACTGATAAAAAAAGAAAACGGTCTGCTTTACGACTCTTTAAGTCCAACATAACCCAGGGATGTCGGCGTTGTGAAAAGGTGAAGAGTTTAATACTTTCAGCACGCATTAGGGAATCTAAAGGGTACAGGGCCACCTGATGGCCATCTTTTCTCCCCAAGGAAGACCCCGGCAGTCGGTATCCATTAGCGCAATTTACGACTCAAGTCGAGAAACTATAACAATTACGAGGGTGAAAGGCAAAAACAACGTCTACAACAGAATATCGCGGTTTAAAAACTGCCTTGGACAACTTTGCAATTTCTGTTTACATTTAAAATAATTTCAATTAATTATTCTTTGTAAGGTCTTGGTTGAGATGAAAAAGTTAGTGCTACGAGCGGGATTCGAACCCAAGACCTTACATAAAATAATTTATTAATTGAAAGAAGTAATTTGGTCAATAGACGCTAAATATAATGGATTTGAAATAGAGTTAATCTTTTTTTTATTAAGGCAAAATATCCTTAGTCGTATGGCACACTCACCCACTGTCTAAAAAATTCGGATGACTTCAACCTTTGTTCGTACAAATCCGGCTGCTCTTGCAGGTCCATCGATTCGTCTGATCTTTTTCCGTGGCCGCCGAAGCAGGAATGGCCGTAAAAAGTGCATCCTCCTTCAAAAGAAAAAAATACTATAAATTATTAAGTTATTATCTCAGAGGTTAAAATCCATCGAACAGTCTAAAGCGTTAATCATAGTTTCTAGGCAAAAACACACATTGCTTCATTTACATACATCGTTTACCACAATAGCATAAAGCAAAAAAATGAAGAACTTAATGCAAAATCTATCTCTTTCTCACTCCTCTCCTCTTCTCTCAAAACTCTCTCACCCTTCTCTTTCTCACTCTCTCTGTCTTTCTCTTTCTCTTTCAATTTATCGTCCAATACCCCGATGACAATGTACAAACGCACAAACAAACGACACGCACAATGGCACATAAACCCAACTAAACTGCTCAAAAATGAATATATATGTAATTTATTCTTATTCTATTAATTTTAATTAAATTAACAAATATATTCTTGATAGCTGGATAAAACAAAATAGAAAATGCAAACCAAAAGCAGACAAATGTTAATCCTCATTTTTAATAACGGATTTACTAGAATAGTGATGAAGATTATTTGTTTTTTAAACAAACACCTTTTCTCGTATTTTATATATTTTAATCCAGTTGTATTCTCTTTAACCATGGAAATACGTCGCATTTCTGTGAATATAGCGGGCGCCGAAGAGTCCACAGTGGATGCGTACAATGCCCCAGTTCGTACTCCCTTCAGTGCAGTTTGGAGTAGGCGGTGTAATATTGGTCTGTGCTGGGATTTACTCTGGAGGACGAACTGGAATCCATATTGTTGTTTTGGCAACCTCACCGCAGTCCGTTATGTCCAAGAAATTATCGAGGAATACACCCTCAAACCCGGGAACCCGTTGGCAGGGATTTTCGATTTCTGACAATCCCAAAACTCATAGAGGCAGTGTTGTTCATCAATGTTTTGAAAACTTTGGAATTTCCCATCTGCTCCTTCCCCCGTTGACTCCAGACCTCAGTCCCATTGAGCACATGTGGGATTCGTTGCAGAATCAACTATCACCATCCGCAGACAGTTGACTTGCAACAACTGACTACAGTGTCAGTCCATCTGTGGAGTGAATTTTCTTATGAAATTAGTGACAACCTTATTACTAGTATGCCTACAGGTGCATTGAAGGTTTAGCTAACAGACGACATTATACACGATATTAATTGTTTAAAAAACTATTGTGTCGAATAAACAAAATTATGCAATTAAAACACTTTATTTTGTTATTGTTCAAAATCTAAATTTCCCTTCAGTAAAAACAATAACTTTTTAATAAATATAATATAATAAAAATAAAACAAAAATGTTAGGGAAAATAAATACTACAAAGGCAAATATAGGCAATATCCCTATTCATTTTTGAACAGGTTAGGTAGGAACTTGTAGTTTCAGTTTTTCCGTTCCCAGTTATTTTAAAAAACAAGTCTGCAAAAAGCAAAGATGGACAGGCCAAAATGACCGGTAACGACCAAACTACAGGTTCATCACCCTGTATACTCAAGATACTTCAAGGAGAAAATCTCACAATTTTCCGAAGCGAGAATAAGCGGGTCTTTTTCTAATCTAAATTTATGATGACATTGACTATGAGATTGACAACTAATTAATATGATTTTATCTTCGCTAGGTCACCCAATAATAAAAAACAATCTTCGTCGTTCTAGACGAATTCCAATTCTACGACCCCTTCTGCTCAGCGTAATATCCAGGAAAATGAATACGGAGGGTCGATGGATTTAATCAGGCCTAGGTTCATCCCGTTTGCTTGAATCCGTTTTCAATATAAGGGAAAACATATCAGAAAAATTTGAAATTGCCTTGTTACACGATAACTGAGGAATGACCGGATGAGTCAAGGTTTTAAGACTTTTCTATTGTGGACTTGGGTTAGAAATTTCTTTAGCAGGAAGAAAAATGTTAGACTTTTTCCTTCCTCTGTTTCAGTATTATAAATCTAAACATTTGATAGTTTGGAAGCATGGTTAATTTTAATCGTTTGTCGCTTGCAACACGATCCAACGATCAAAAACAAAAATTTTCTACAAATTTAAACGTTTGTATAAATTTTAATTCTTTAAATTGAAAACTGTGTATTGTTTACAATTTCAGCTTGCGTCTTTGCCCAATTGATCTGTAAGTCAGGCTAAAAAAACAAACTTTTTCATGTAAATCAAGTCTAGAAGAGTTTATGAGGTTATTCCAATAATAAAACGAGCGGTTTTAATGTCTATGGAGTAATAAAGTCCACTTTCCGTCCCCGCACAATTGTTTTAATGTCGTTAGAGCGACGTGATAAGAATCCGAGAATCGTAACTGCCTAGTTAAGAAATTACGCCCCTTGTCGATAGCAATTTAAATTTAGTTAAAATAAACTTCGAGCTCATCAGCTTAAAGCTAGAATTTTCTTAGAAAGTTGTTACAGCTTTTTGGGCCGCAGTCTTTTAGCAATCGGTCATCCCGGTCTTTCTTAATTCGCCATAACCAGCCTAAAGTTGACCTAATAATGGTCAGAGATGACCAACATTATACAAACCATTAATATAATTCACAAGCTTAGGCAAGTTTACGATAATATAGGACAGTTTTACTTGATGAATTACTTTTCTTCTTTCTTGTGGTTTCAACGAGTTTACACTTGTATCTTCTTACATAAATAATTCATTATCCACTGCCATTTTCTACAAGGAAATTGATTGTTTCTTTAGAACTTCAAAGAGCTATTTCAAATAAAATGTTTGTGATTCTAACGATTCTCGCTCCCAGATAGCGAATCGGCTGAAATACCCAAGTTTCTGTAAATGGATAACACTCATCTATCTTTGTAGAGAACGTCATTCTGCAAAGAAGTAGACAGTTTTGTTGAAAATTAGGCAACAATAAAGGAATTCAAAGTATCCTTTCTTAATTTCATATGTTTAAAAAGTCTCGCAGTTAATATTCAAAATCAAATTCAAGTAAAAGATTTATTTTGTGATTTTTTTCGTATTCCCACCCAAGTATCGTGAGGGCTGAAATATCCAAGTTTCTGTAAATGAACAACATTTGTGTATCTTTTCATAGAAACTTGTGACGTTATTCGACAAAAGAGTAGATCGCTTTGTTGGAAATTTGACACCAATATACAAATGCAAAGCATCCTTTTTTATTTTCATCTGTTCAAAAAGTCTCGCAGTACTCAGAATCAATTTCAGGCAAAAGATTAATTTTGGAAATTTTTTCGTATTCCCACCCAAGTATCGTGAGGGCTGAAATATCCAAGTTTCTGTAAATGAACAACATTCATGTATCTTTGCATAGAAACTCGTGACGTTATTCCTCAAACGAGTAGATCGCTTTGTTGGAAATTTGACACCAATATACAAATGCAAAGCATCCTTTTTTATTTTCATCTGTTCAAAAAGTCTCGCAGTACTCAGAATCAATTTCAGGCAAAAGATTAATTTTGGAAATTTTTTCGTATTCTCACCCAAGTATCGTGAAGGATGAAATATCCAAGTTTCTCTAACTGATTAACATTCATTACCTTTGCCTAGAAACATTATTCGTCAAACGAGTAGATCGCTTTGTTGGAACCTTAAAAATAATTAACGAATACAAAGTATATTTTTTAATTTAAAAGAATTTTAATGGCTAACTAAACTTCTAACAAGAACATGTGCAAATTAAAACTAAAATCTAATTAGAGTCCCTAGTTTATGTATCTTTACAAAGATATCTTCAACCATTGCACGTTCTTTCTTTTCAACTAATTATTTTTTTATGTCTAATAGGTGTAAATAATTATATTGTAAATGTTACTTACTTCGTACATTGCTCGTTTTCCTCAAGCGAGCTTCCCTGTCACCTGAAACACGATTAAAAAACTGTTAAGTCATGGTTGAATAACCGATATCAAAGCCAGCGCAAGCGGACAGTTGAGCGTTTTTGAACAAACACGACTCCGCGTAAACTTGAGACATCCGTGGAAAAGGTAAATGAAATTCACCGGTTGGCGTTCATTTTAAACGTCGGGCTACGTTTTATATCCAATCTCGCCGAAGGAAATCCAAGCCTGAGGCGACATGTCAACTTCTCAAAAGAACCAAGAAAATTTAACTTGCCGTCGTATATTGGTTTTTAACTCGAATAAATTAGTTAAGAAAAAAATTCTAATTTGAAAGTTTACTGTTTGAGACAAGTTTTGTTTTAGTATTGAATAAATTATTAAAATGATTAATTTTCCACGTGAACAACAGCCAAAAGTAATCAAGCTATTGTTACCATATATCGGTCTTATCAGGGATTTTGTTCAGTGATTTAATGAATTTTTTTTATCCCAACAAGTAAATTTATTCTATCAGCTTTGGGTTACTTATAGTGTAAACTTAAACCTTTTCCATTTTTCTCTCTTAAAGAATCCGGCGTATTCATCTGCAATCATCTGTAAACGCAAATGTACAATTTTCTGCTGGGAAGACCTCATTTTCCATAAATGATCCCAGGGCCTTGCAATGAATACAAAGACAGCAAACCTACCCATATTTCTGTAGATGGATATTGAATTTTTTATTTGCTGACTACTAACATATAAAAATTTGTCCGGTACAAAACGTTAGCCCACCCTAAATTAGGATATGTGTCATTTTTTAAATTAATTTTTAAAATCATAAACAGATTTTTTGTTATATTTTAAATATATCTTGTTAATTATCAACCAGTAAAGTATTACTCCCTGGAATAGTAAATATTAATTTTAAGTAAGAAAGATAGTAACCTTTAAAACGCTTTTATTAAAAATTAAATAAAATTTATAAAACACTTACAACGATTGACAAAATAATTCTGAACCTCTGCGGTCCATTCTCCAGTACCAGTTAGTATTCGATATGGTAGGTCGTAGAGGCGAAAACATCTTAAGAAAATTTCTTCTTCTCCTTGTTCTTTGTGCGTTTCATCTCTCCTGTGTTCTGGAACGGGCTGCAGCCTTATAAACAGCTTTGACAAATGTTCCCAGATATTTTCAGTTATATTAAACACTGGAGACCCAGTTGGCCATTGATTAAAAAAAAAAGATTTTACCATTTTTTCTGTGTGACTTGTGTGTTACAAGAGCATTGTGCTGCTAGAATACAAATTATTCACTTAGTATTGTTTCTGAGTACCTTGTTAATTGATTTCCTATTAATTCTAGATATAGTATACCGTTCATTTTATCAGAACAAAAATTATATTGAATAGGACTTTCTCTATTCCTACTTCCAGTAGATACGGTCACGGAAGAAATGTTTATGGCTTTCCTTATGAACGTTATTTAGCGGTGGTGTTGTTTCAGTTTCCTCCTCTGGATGTACGTAGCATCATTTATGACCCGCTTTATGTTTTTTATGTTGTCGGACAGCTCTTTGAGCGGTTTTTTAAACTGTCAACCTGGAAACTGATCCTCAAAATTGCTGGTTTTCCCCTGCTGGTTAAGACGGATCGCCTACCAGATATTTTCTTCTTTGTCTAGTCTTCTGAATTATTCAATAATGTAGAAATGACTTTACTACTCTGCTTTTGTTTCTTGATATTTCCGAAATCTACATTGTACGATTTTTCTTACTTAATATTATTGCGCGTTCAGAAAGAGTCAAATAACCGGCACGACCTTTTACCAACGTTTAGATAGTAGCAAAAAGCTGAGTTTTATAACTTGGTACAAAATTGAATTTAGGTACTACTTTTGTTTACAAACAACTGTGCTACCTTTTTGTCCACACCTCAAAGTCAATATTTACTATTATTTCCAGGCATTAAAATTTTATTGGAATTAAGTAACAAGATTCAATTAATTTCTTGCTTCTCTTTTTGATAGATCTGGATGAGATTCTGGAAAAAACGTCGTAAGCTTTTCCTTCCTTCTCCGGAAAAGCTTACGAGGTTTTTATAATCTAAGATTCAATTAAAATTTAACTGGAAAAGTCTTTGATATTTAAAAAAACAATGAAATCACACAATTGTAACTATAGAACCGTACTGAGAGAAATTCATAGGATATCTTTTTGCACGCACCTTATTTACAAGAACACGCTACGGTTCTGGGTCCGAATGGCTTTTTAATTGATAATGGTATGAAAAATGTATTGTAAAGTGATTTGCCCCCTCGTCCGAAATTTTAAGTTCAGAACACCAAAGGCTTTTAAAAAAGGGGTTTTATTTTCTTTGAAACATAATGTTCTATTAGAGAAACTGTTCTATTATTACGTTCTATCAGCGAAGGGGTCTAAGAAATGTATTTTTAATTTTTAATTTTCGCCTAGTTTTCAGGACTTTTTTATACCTTCTTCAGGGCTTGATTTTTGATCAGAAGTATATAACCTTGAATTCTTAGAATTTCACGATATCTCTGAATACCTTTTCACTTTCTTCTTCACCTTTCCAACTACGAAATGACTAGACTAATTTATACAAATATGACAGACAGTAAAAAACGTGTAAATAAAAACTACAATAAAGTGCCGAAAGCTAGGCGAAGATTTAAAATTATATTTCTTAGACCACTTCCCCGATAACAGCTAATAGAACTGTAATATTTAGTGACCGTTATGTAATAATTATTTAGAGATCGTGAGATGTGGTGTGGTGTGACGTAGGTTTAGAAAAACATTTTCTTTATCGTGCCAACGTTTCGATTTTTATTGAGATAATCTTCAGAACCTGGGATTTATAAACGTTGTTTAAATTACACAAATACATATAAGATATGACTATGAATTTATTCAATGTGTACTATATTTGAAATTTTAGGTTCAATCAAAGTATTTGTACTCATTTAAAATGTGTGTTTTTGGGTAGATATGTCCCTGTTGTATGTCTTGTTGAGAGTGGTAGTTAGATATTAAGATGTATAAACAAAAACCCTTAATATCTCACTCTCAACAAAACACACAACAGTGGCACATATACACAGAAAATACACACTTTGAGTGAATACAAATACTTTGATTAAACCTAAAATTTCTGTTTTGTAAATATCATTGTATAAATTCATAGTCATATCTTTTATGTATTTGTATAATTTAAATAATGTTTATAAATCCTAGGTCCTGAACATGATCTCAATAAAGATAGAAACGTTTGCTGCACGATAAAGAAAATGTTTTTCTAAACCTACGTCACACCAGACCACATCTCATGATCTCTAAATAAACTAACATAACATTATCTTTAAATGTAAATGTAAAAAAAGTAACAATATAAAGTAAATGTAAGAATCGTAATAAAATCGTAATAAGAGAAGGTAAGCGTATGAAATTGGAAGAAATTTTCCGCGATATATGTATTTCTTTCTGTGGCCAGAGTAGTTCCTCGTATCAAACTTGGTGATTCAAATTGGATGAGCGTTCTTTCGGGGCGACAGCTAAGCTAAGCTAATAAGAGCTTACGCTCACGTTTTTAATATGCGAGAAATCGATCACAAAAAAGTACGGCAAATGGTCGTGAATATTTTAAAGTCAATTGGACTTGCTCAAATCTGAAAACTTCCGCTGTCCCTATTCGGGAGCCAAGTTGAGTAAAAATATTTTTTTAAACTAACATAATTTGTTTATTTATTTATCGAAAAAATTTTAAATTCATTTTGGGACATAACAAGAGAAGATTGTTGTGTCTGAAGTCAGTGAAACTCGCCGGATGAATGACGTGCGTCTAATGATTGGGTAATGAAGAAGACGACAAAAAACACTGGATTATATTTGGTGCAGTTACAGTCAGCTGGAGGCAAATTATTCATTTCTTAACTCGCGACACCCAACGGGTAGTTGGACGTCAAGCCCTCCTGTATGACAGGAATTACTTTACTTTTCACTTTTTAAATGTTTAAAATGTCATTATTTTCGCTTATTCAGCTAAGGTACCCAAGTTTCTGTAAATGGACAACTTTCAAGTATCATCATACAATGCAGAAACCACCTATTATTCAATGAAATAGACCTTTTTGTTAGAACTTAGAAAGCAATTAACACATACAAAGTATCTCTTGATGTTTCCTAACAAGTTTCTAACTGAAGTTGACACGTTGATTGCAAATCTGTAATTGGAAATATACCTGATATTTTATTTTGTAGAGATTGCACTTAAATAGATTCTCCAGTGAATGTTTTAATTGTTTCGCATGTAAGTATAAACATTTCTACGTTCCTCTTAAAGATAGATAAAAGAATCCGCGTATATTCTTTGGTAACGACCATTAAAACGTGATTATCTTTATACAAACATCACCCGTTAACCACTGACCTTACATTAAAAAAAAAAATTTTCTCTGGCACTTTAAAAGTAATTAAAAAATAAATGTCTATTTTTATTTTATTGATTTTATGCAGGATTTATTTGAATTTTGAAAGAGATTTTTAACAAATACATAGCATTTTTTAACATTTGTCTTTTTTAACAAGACATCAATTCATCCAAACAATTTTGGAAAAAAAACTTCTTATTTTGTCTTGAAAGTAATGGCTAACGATCATTTTCTTGAAACTTTAAAATCAAATTTAAATAACAAGTTTAATTTTTTTCTTCTTAACGAATCTGTCACCCAAGTATCGACACAGCAGGTGCTCAAGATTCTATATAAAGGACAGTATTTATGTATGTTAATACAGAAACCCCAGTCATTAATACATATGAAAATAGGACGTTTTCTTGAAAATTAGCATGCAATAAACGTAGTAATTAATGATTAATTGGGGATCGTGAGATGCGATCTTCTCTCACGAACTCCAAATAATCATTACTTAACAGTCATGAAATACTACACACACACACACACACACACACACGTAGTAATTAATATTTTTTTCTTATTAATGAATCTCTCTTCAAGAATCGAAATAGCTAAGAGCCCAGGTTTATGTAAATGGAAAATATTTATGTATCTTTATACAGAAACTGCTGCCATTCTCATGAAAATAGAACGTTTTGTCGAAATTTAAAAAGCAATAAACATTTTAATTAATTTTTTTTCTTACTAATGTGAATCACTCCCAAGGATCAAAATATAAAAGATACCCAAATTTCTGTAAATGGATCTCTCTTTATTCACTAACCCGTTATTAATCTGAATGAAAACAGACGTTTAACTTGAAACTTAGAATGCAATCAACTGATACTAAGTCTCGCACATAGCGAGCCGTCAGCCAAATTTTGCGTCTAGTCCAGAAGTAGTATAGTACACAAGCACACTTAGAGGCGAACATATCCAATTATCTGTACATGACAATATAGGGGATAGTTTCTTTAGGAAAGTCGCACTTGGTTCACTTGGACTTATTCTTGAATTCTTCTTGCTTCTCAAAAGTAAGTACGACAGCGGCTTTACCTACAGAGTTTCTGTAGGAAGTCGAGTTGTATTCTTTTGGTGGCGACTGCCATTGAAATGCGATCAGTTTCGCTTTTTCACTATATTTCACTTTTGTATTTTTCAACAGAACCCAGTCTTATTCAAAGAATTAAAGCCGTTTTGGTAGCCCTTTAACATTAATTAACAAATAAAAAGTCTCTGTTTTGAATTTTGGGATATTTACGATTCTTGGACCCAAGTATCGATACCCAAGTTCTGTAAATTAATAACTTTCAAGTATCTTTATTCAGTACCCCTGTTATTAATCTTCATGGAAATAGATCATTTTGTTCAAACTTAAAATGTAATCAACTTCTCGCATATAGCGTGCCGTACAAACAAAACTTTGGCTTGGGTTGAAGTTGGTAACTCCTTGTTGTTGAAGATGATGGGAAAACTGTCTTTACAATTTAATGTACACTGGGTAGATTTTACTATTTTTTCTGCCTTGTCCTACACTTTTTGCACTAGTTTATGTTGAGCTAGACCTTTAGATGGAGGTTTCTTGGATAGGATTGAATGCTAGACCGATCAATTTAAAAGCGTTTTAAATTTATATTCTAACAAGAACTCAGTGCAATTTTTATTCAATTCTTAAATATCAAACTGCGATGTATACATCGCGATTTATTTACCAATGTACCTCAGGTAGAAAGGTAGGACAAAACAGCAGTGAATACAAAGACTTAAAATATTATTTTCCTTTTGTGGAGTTCATAACTATAATTGAATTTCAAAGTTTTTCTCTTTCCATTCCATTAAATGAACGCGTTGTTGATTGTTTCACTGAAATGTAAACACATGTTTTATTTAATTAAAATTCAACAGACAAGCTTTTATCTGTTTAAATAAACGGACTTGACCGACGAAACGTCAAAAAATCAATTCTGATTCAATACATCCCAACAGAAAAATTTTCCTCCCGATCTAAACTGATTTGTTTTTACCTGGGCGGATTCTCATTTTCTTTAAAGGACGAAGAAAAAAAAAGGCTAGGTTGATCGCCGGAGTGAAAAACCGATTCTTTCAGTATAAAACCGTAAATAAATCGAAGCGAAGATGCCGGTAACAAGATCAGTCAAGGCGGATGCTTACAATCTGATCAAACCGACTTCCTTGACTTCGTTTTCAGACACCTTAATATCTTGTCCCTCAGATTCAAATACCAATATTGGATTTTACCTGTTTTTGACAAATTTAATTTTTGAGTGGGATAAATATTTGCATGTTTAACAAGAAAAGATCCATTTTTGGGGGTGTGTCTTGTTACTCCAATATGTCCTGGTCCATGGGGTGAAAGTGGAACTAAAGGGTTTCAAA